GCTGCGCCTCATAATATGTCCAAGATACTGTGTGTTCCCTTTCTTTTATGGTTTGTAGCGACTTTTCCTTTTTTCATACGTCTTAGAACTTCTATACTGGTTATCTTCTGTGTCACAAGAAATTACTAGCATGCGTCAATAGAGATACATTTAAAATTGGTAGATCTTCTTCTCCGTTATGGGATCAATGGTCCAGCTCTCACTGCCGTATGGAAGGACAGGGAACATATAGCAACGGAGCATGCGTGTCCTGAGCTCCAAGCTCAATTCCAATCTAGTAAAGAGATTCTTCATACTAGCGAAGACTATCCTCGTCTTTTCTATTTTGGATCGGATTTCACTTTTAGGGTCACAGTCCTGATCTATCGGGTCTCTACATATTTTATGGTCAAAGTTATATTTTTATATGTTTTCGAGAAGTCTATGATCTTGACTTTGGATATGACCATGAAAAGGACATTCCGCTTATTCATTCATCATTCTCTGTAATTCACTTGGACTTCTGGCTATGATGACGGTGTCATCCGCGTATACTAAGTTAATTATTACCTTCCCATTCACTATTATTCCTCCTGCTGTTTCGTCAAGTGCTTCCCTGAATATTGTCTCCGACTATATGTTAAAAAGAAGCAGCAACAAGACGCAGCGTGGCCTGACTTCCCTCATGATCGAGACGTTTTCTGACGTTTTGTCGTTTATTCGGATTTCGGCCGATTGCCTCCAATATAGGTCACCAATCATACGAATGTCCTTATTATCTATACCTGTAGATGTTAAGATGGGTATTAGCTTTTCGTGTTTAAGTCATTTGCCTTGCGGTAGTCTATAAAACATGCGTATTCATATCTCTACATCTTTGTGTTAAGACTTGTTGATGTTTTCTACCATAATATTCAGAGGTTCAGCATATATGTCATCTGGACCAGTTGCTTTTCCGTTTTTTGTGTCGTTTGATGGCATAAGTAACTTCAGTTTTTGTTATTTTAAGTCCTATTTCTTCAGCATCGTCGGTTTTTGGTGGAAGGAATCTGTTGTTTTTGAATAGGATTTCAACATACTCTTTCCATTTTTTAAGTTCTTCTTCTATTCCAGCTACCATTTCTCCCTTGGCATCTTTCAAAACTGCTGCTTTCGACCTCTTCCCACGAGTTCTTTAACTTTCTTGCGGACGGGTAATATATCGTATTTTGCTTATAGTGATTATATCTCCTGACATTTTGCTGACAGCCATCGATCTTTGGCTTCTGCGCACTTGATTCTAATTGTTTCCTTCCTTCCTTCATTCATCAAGGACAGTATTTCCTGTGTCCTCCACCTTTGGTTTTTATTGCTTTCCATGATTTGTCTATACGACATATTCGTCTATTACGTCCCAAGTTTTCTCCGTCTCTTCTATCTATCTATCTATTTATTGATGTGTTTTATTTCTCTTTCTAGTGAGCTTCTGACTTGCTCTTTTATATTAGGATCTCCCAGTCTTCGGATGTCTATGACTTTTGTATTTGTTTGTATCTTTGATTTTTTAAGGCGGTGTACTTCAAATTCAAGCAACTACAACTCATCAGATCCCACGTCTTCTCCTGGCTATGTCTTAACTGTTTACCTTTAGAAGTGTTTACTTAGTAGTATGAAATCAATTGGATTTATCACAATGTTTTCCATGTTGTTTGCAGGACAGTTCCATATCCTTCCATAGTCGTAGTGGGTGAAGTTTGAAAAATGTGTGAAATTTTTTTTCTCATGCAAACTTTTTACTAATTGTAACTTGATTTTTTTTTGGCCAGCGGATAAAGAGGCAAATGGAAGCAATCTTGAACCCCTGGAGTATCATGTTGGATATATATATTTTTTAACTTTAACATGAAAATTCTAATTTAAAACGGAAAGTTGTTGCGATGAATTCGCAACGCTGAATGATGAATTAGTTAAATTGGCGAAATTTATTGCAATTTGAATTTAAACAACAATTTGGTAGTCACCGAATATTAAAACGTTTTGAGCAAAATTTACATTTTTAGATGCAGAGTTTCAAACGTGATCCATCATATAATGTGTACTATTTTAAGTTGGTATTTCACGGGTAATGTACAAACGGCTGAAACTATAAGCTTATCCAATTATTCATCAGATTCTCGTGGTTATGGTCCGCAAAGCATTGGGCTACGGCGGCAAATCCAAATCAAATTCTGTCCTAAAGGCAATTTAATTATATCGAACACTGCTAATAATTTAATATTTACTTAGTTTCAAGTCAAACTAGCGGTAAAAGGTGGCGTTCGCCGTTTTAACATGTGATTTTTCACATAAAAGCTGCTTCAAAATACGTACCGGTGACCCAATGATTTCAAACTAACTGGTGTACTTACAACTTTAACCGAAATGTTTATTTTATTAAAAATATTAAACCTATAAAATTTGGGAAATAGCTTCTAACGCTATTTAATAAAGCGCTTAAGGAAATCGGATAATAATCTTACAAGAACTCGTGTTCGCATGTAGGTATATTGGGCCAGTAATAATTTTATACCTTGTAATTGTAGTTGCTATACGAATAATTTTATTTGAGAATCATAAATCTCTTTACCTGTGAAAACCTATTAGCACTATTTTATATGCTCGCATTTTTTTAAATATTGTAATTATTTTTTTGTATTTTATTGATTTTGTCGCAATATCGCTTACATTTTTATGTTGGTATTTTCCATCTATTAAAACATTTTCATGTRTWACTTWTTATAATGTAACGGCTGCATTGTAAATGATAATATATTTATTACAAAATRTATACTGTTATTATTATCGCATTCAAATTTAATGTTAAATTTATACTTTTTACCAGTCGATTTCACATTTAATACCCTTGCTTAAATTAGGGGAATGGATTCCAGATGCACTAATACGTGCCTAATAATCTTTCAGAATAAAGCTGGTCATAATCTCCTTAAGCAGTTTAAGAAATTCCGTGTGAAAGAAACTTTCATCAGCTCAGGACTTTCTGGCTAGAATTCGTATTAGGCTTGTCATTTACTTTATTGACCTTTATTATACGTCAGTCGGAAGTCGTTGGAAAACTTGGAAGTATTCGAATTTCCAGGTAGGTCTCGGCTGGTTGATTAAGCGATGGATTTAAAAATGTTCTTTTTCATTCATGCATTTTCCGTAAGAAAAATACGATTTCGGTCGAGAAATACGTTTCTCCAAAAATGTAATTTTGGTTAATAAATTCCACAGAGCTGATCTGATAAACGGCTATTATGCAATTAAGCAATAAGTACGGACTGCACGAACAGTCTATCCTAGTCCCAAAATCTGTTTAATTCTTTTTTGAGTTTCTTGTACTTCATAATAAGAAAAAAAAATTGTATGTTGTCGAATGAGTCGAACACTTCGAATTTAGATTAAAATTCGTCATAAAATAAATATCAACTAGTATTTCGAAACGGGGCAATCGCTTGTTCCTTAAAAGAAAAAGGGCCCAATCAGCCATATTGAAGGAGTTTTTTTTGGAATGTCAATTACATTTTCCAAACGATTTCATCTTCATTTAAACTCTGACATCACCAATTTTCGCTTTTCCGCCTGGATAATTGAAATAGATTTAGAAAAGGAAATATTTTGTAATTATTCAACCTTAAGTAAAAGTTCTTTTTGCGCAAGTTGAGCGGCTCTTAAATTGCCGAGTAAAATTGCGGAGTGCAATAATTTAAATTCCTATTATGCATCTTCTTATATGGCAATTTATTCAGACTAAGCGAAAGACTGTTATGTAGTTTTCTGTGAAATTTTCAACTTTAAGTTATTTATTATTAAAATGTATCTTTTAAGCTAATTTCTTGTGATTACTCAGTAAATTTAACTTAAACTTCGTAAACCAATAAGTCTGAAAGCTTTGAAATAAGCTCAAACTTAATTTCCACCTAAAAGCAATTAATGGATTATTTCTGGTCTTTCGAAGTTAATCCCTTCCAGTTTCCAACATTAATAAGGGGCAGTGATAAGTGCAGAGTTTTCAATTAGCTGTTCATTTAGCTTTAAAAATTCCATATGAATTATTTCGGGTTCAGTTTTAATAGATCTTAAGGAGAAATCGGCGGATATAAAACGACAAGTTTTGAAATTACCAATAGTTACTATTGGATTTCAAGTTTACTTCACTCTAGTTCGAGGTTTAATTTCTGCAAAGATGGTGGAATTTAATATTCTACAAGTGTTATACTGTAAACGAGGTCAATGCAGAAAAGCAGGAGAAAACTGGAAGCAGTTGCAAGTAGAGAATTACTGATAACATGAATTCTAATTTCGTTAATTAATTCTATCGATCTTACAGTGCGGACTAGCTTAAGCTCAGGGTTGATATGTGCTCATACACTAAACTGGAGGCCTTATCAAGTCAACAATGCAGATTGATATTTTAAAAGAGACTTGAGTTTATTGTATCGTCTAAAATATGTCGACAGGGGAAATAAATGAAATAATCTCTCATAAATCTTATTCGAGTTATTTTTAAGCCGTGTCTGCCGATTCTTTAGGTGTCCAAATTAAGAACCTTGAAGTTATTTTAGATATTTAAGATATTTGCAATAATAAAATGTTTTATTGTGCTATTCGATTGGTGAAAATCTGGTGAACACCCTCTATCATATCTGCTTAGAGCCATAACTCTCATAAAGTCATATGTTTTGAACATATATTATTATTCTATATTCGGGTTGGGAAATAATTACGCACAGACTTCACTGAGGTTTTGAATGCGGCACGAATTAAACTTTTGAAATAAAGTTTCCTTACTGATAAATTACGTTGGAAGGACGCTGAACTTATTACTAGCTTGAAAAAGTTTACCCAAATTAAGTTGATTTGTTATGCATGGATAAAGTTTTGAGTAGTGATTATTTTACCCCAATGTGCTTTTTAGTTTTCAATAATTTCGACTAGTTAGTGTCGGATGTAAGCATGATTTCAATAGTACAGATTGTAATTAATATGTCTTTCATATTCAGGTTACTGCTACAGATGGTGATAAAGACCGACCTCAACATATCGTGTATTTCTTAACTGGACAAGGCATTGATCCGGACAATCCTGCAAACAGCAAATTTGATATCAACAGAACTTCTGGAGAAATTTTTGTTCTGAAGGTAAGTGTTTTATGTTTTTCACACATAGTTTTATTTTCTAGATCAATGAGAAATGGAATTTTATTTTACATCGCTGACTAGTAGATTTGACGGACAAAACGTGTGAAACAAAGACATATACAGATTCTATAATATATCTACTAACTATAATAATTTTAGATGTAGAATTGAGTATTGCAATTGGTTACTTGGTTCATACATTACAAATAATTGGCAAACCCTCTTTTACCGTAACGATGGCTTTATTCTAAGCGACACATTGAAATCATCCCTTTACATTTCGTTTTCCCTAAGGTCTCAACATCCGCAACACGTCTATATCGTAAGCTTCATAAAAACTTTTTCGTACGCTCTGAAGTTTTAAACTTTCCTAACCAAATAAAATGGGCAAATGCCTAATGCTGGTGACTTAGAAATATTGTGTCCACCAAATTCTCATGGGAGAAAACTACCATTTTTCTAAAGTTGGAAACGTTCTTTTATTACCACAAAAAGAAAAGAAGTATACAAAGATATGTTTTAGCGAAACAGGGAATATATGATAATGTAGAGGGTCATTGATTGAACTTTGGCCACCCCGTTTTGCAACAATTGATACAGGGTGGCTCAAATTCAAGGGACATGCCAAACTTGGCTTTTTTAAATGAAATGTTGTACTTTTTCTTGCATATTCGAGCTATTCGTAACTCTTTAGGTCCATTAGACATGAATGTTCTATATTGATTTTCAACTGTTTTGGAGTTAATAACCAATATTTATTGATCTTTAACCATCGCGTTTTAACATCTAATTTAAAACTAGCGACAAAAGGGTATTACAAAGGTTGTAGATTTTAACCTCTAGTTTATTTTACGCTATTCAGTCAGCTTTTAAGCCGTCGTGGACAATAATTTCCTCCTAACGTTTCGCAAGCACGAGTGGCTTGGTTTCGAGCAGAAACGCCTATCAAAATACAAACCACCCCTGCTTGGGAAACTTCGGAAATAAATATTTTTTATGGAGCCTCATACCCCGCAAAACTATCCATTCACAATCACAAAAATTGCTAATTAGAGAATCCATAGCACATATGCTAAAAGGCTCTAAGGAAATATACCGGGTGTCAATGTGAAAACCTCCCACCCTTAATTTCTTTCTTGCAGCTGAAGATATGAAAAATCAGAAAAACCCGTCAATTTTATGTGTAAGGGGAACACTTTAAATGAATATTTTTGGCCTCCCTGTTTTCAAAGGGGGTCAACTGGCACATCGTTTTAATGGGCATTCAATTCTCTTTACTCTAGTTATTACTTTGTTGCTTTTCGTCCAGAGGTTTTCGAATAATCCCTTTTCAAAATTACAAAAACAGTTAAACTTGCCGGCATTGAGATATTGGTTTTCAGGTTAGTGTTTACACAAAAACAATTATATTGGGTTTCGAACCCCTTTAAAACGATGTGCCACTTGACCCCCCTTCCCATTTAAGATTCTAATGGTGACGTCTACTCGTCTTAGGGGGTCGAAACAAGGAGGCCAAAAATATTCATTTAAATGTAGCCCTTACAAATAAAACTGACGGGTCTCCGATTTTTCATATTTTCAACTGCAAGAAAGAAATTAAGGGTGGGAAGTTTTCAAATTGACACCCTGTATAAATAGCAGTTACGTTCACAAAATGGAAACCTATCAGCGACAGTCTTTCATGAGAAACTTGCAATTTTGGTAGCAGATTTATTTAAAGTATAAATTTCGATCCATACTTTTTCAAAAAATGTTCACAATAGTGGAAGAAAATCAAGTAAAGCAAAACTTTAAAATAAAATTTAAAAACAACATAGGAATTGTCCATTTTAATGAGTACTTTATAAATTAAACGTGAGAAATTATAACTAGTAAGTTAAAAATAATAAAACAGTCAAATTAGATTATATTTAAAAATACTTATTTTGCGTTAAAACTCGGACCCTAACGATGATAGTTAAAATCTATCACTAGGAACTCAATCTACTTAGAAATGCATCTCAATAATGTGCAAATCATCTTCTCATAATTCATCAACCTGTCAGCCTTTTATCACGTGAGAAAAAGGAAAAAGTTTTAAGTGAAAGGCTTGATAATAAAACTGGATAACCACTTGTGGCATTCGCCCTTGGCTTAATCTCTAAAAAAATGATTAAAAATTCAGTTTATTTTTAAATCTTATTTACGTCTCCAGATTATAGTTGAAAACAATGAACAATAAAGTTTGTTTATACCGTCAGGAGATCGGTAAAGTGCGTTTAGTATGTGAAAAATTGATTTTGTGTGCGTAACTCTTGTGACAATCACCTTAAAATAAATCATCTACAAAGAAGCGTGCGGTACTTTATGAACTTTATTTACTAAGATTATTGCTATATGAAGCGATTCTCCAAAAAGATCAATTTAGGATTGAAAAGTCGACAAGCGATTTTAGTGGCAATAATCGTACTAAATATAATAAACTGAAACGTAATTTCCGGTATAACCGGAAGTGATCGAATCCGATATCAGCAATAGATCTGCAGTGGACATATCAAAATCACAAACCAAATGTTCTAATTGAAATTTCATTTATATGAAAAAGCATATTCTATTAGGATTGAAGTAACATCCATTTTTGTTTTGTCGTTATTATATTTTGTTATATTATTATATATTTTTACAAAGAACTAACCGATTGGTCATTTTCTCGTCAACCTGATTCAAATACACATATATTTCATAATAATGTCAAAGCACTTTTGTTAAAAAAATATTAAATAACGCCGACCAAGTTGTGTTACGGTAGCCACACACCCTACCCCATGCTACACATAGTTTATTACTTAAAATAACTGAGAAATTACCTGAAAAGTAATAGGGCTCTTCCTGAGTAACTAATGGTAATAGCAATAATAATACATTTCCATTTACGAGTTAATATATAAATAATGTCAAAGAATATGGCAATATCCGTACCCCCATCGAAACATTAAAAAAATAATTTCTTTGCACTATTACAAACAAAAAACCTCTTTTTGGGGTGTAGGGCAAACGCGGATCCAGGGGGAGAATGGGGGTCATGACCCCCCTTGTGCTGGGTTTATGTCGACTAACGATAATTTTTCTAATTTCATAGACCACACAAAACTGAATTTCTACTGCTTGACCCCACCCTGACTCGAAAGTTGGATCCGCCCCTGGTCACTTTCATCTATCACTTTTTTAATGCGCTTAGATTTACTATTATAAAACTTAATGCAATTATAGTACGCACCTGAGAATATGGATTACATTTTTGTATTTAAATAATTTTTTCAAATATGTCATTTTTTTACTGTATTTATTGCATAAAAATCGCGATTCATTGGATTTGTTTAGTACATAATAGTAGGTATGCAATCTCAATATAACTTTCAAAAATTGGTTTGAAAATTTTCTTCCCATGGTTCTCTCGAAACCACATTCGGCGTCGTTCTTGTTGGTATTCATACAGATAGAAATAGCAATAGTACAAATAATTTTGGATATATTAAACATCCAGTTTTTGACATAGAAGGTATTAAAAGTTTTCATTTACAAAATAATTTATAAGCTTTGTTAAATTAATAATCGAACACCGTTTGAAACATTTTAGGAATAAAAAAGTTTTAATTAAACTTGTAAATTAAAAGTTTATTATTATGCGCTAAGCTAATACTTTAAAAATGGCTAGATAAATTGAAAACTCGTTTTCCAATTTTAAACGGTATAAACTATAAGCTCTTTCATTACGTTTAAACTGGATATACTTTCAGCCTAGTTAAGTAGATATACATATATTTTCCAATTTCACTGAAAGTTTGTCCATCCTAAACTCGTCTGTCCAGTGCCAAGCGTACCATCGAAAGCTTCTTAAAACTTTTCGGCAGCAAACTTTGCAATTCTTTTCTTGCTCCCTAAATTGTACACCTTTAAGGAAATAAAAGGTCCAGCTGGGAAACTATCCCAACATATATAAACTGAAAGTGGGGAAGAGCAAAACTTTGCAGATTACTTGGGGATTTTCATTTGTAATTTGTGGATCTTGACTTTAATCTGGAGATCGTTCTTAAAAACCAACGCAGACTGAATCTTCAGATGTAATAATTTAATGTGGCTAAGAATAGTAGTGTGCAAATATTTTTACCTATATGGACCGAAAGCAAATCCGTTTTTAGAATCTGTATATTCAACAGAAAGCGTGTAGCAAATCTCTTAAAAACCTTTCTTTTCATGCTAAATGTGTTAATTTCCGGCATCAGAAATTCAACAAATAAATCGGGTTGGGGCCCTTAGGAAGCTGCTTTTTCCGTGATTTTCGTTACTTATGTACGTTGGTCGGCCATAAATTTGCAATTTGGTTTCCTTCGATCAATAGTCGGAGCGTACATCAGACTCCTATTAGTGACGCTAGCACCAATATAGCGAGAAACCGCATTCCTAAATCTATTTTCAGGTAATTACTTTAGGCATGGTAAATTCTACCAGATATTTTTCAAACTCTCTGTGAGAAACAGTTGTTTTAGATTGATCCAGACGTTTATTGCTTTTTATAATATTGTTAGAAACATTTTCAACTCAATCATAAATTCATCATTATATTTAGTTTATTTATGTTAATTTTTGCTTAAAACCACATTTATAGACAACGGGAAAGCAAATATAAATAAACATAAAATAAATTTGAACTGTTTCATATAGGTATAACTATGTATAATGCATATTCAAGTCGTTCATATTTATCATTTGATCTGATAATATGTAATATCTACATCATGTGGTAGTGAAATAAAATGCCATTAACGTACATTCAATCTACACAAATGTTGTGTAGTTTGATTTCGTATTGAAAGTTTATTGCTATAATTTCATTGCATAAATATTTGGCATACTGTGCGTGCATGTAATTTGTCCTGCAAAAAAGGAATTTCGAGCTCCATTCCATTTTATAAAAATACATTTTCGAAAACTTCGGATACAAATACATAAAAACACAAAAC